GGATAATAAATGAAGTTGGTTTTGTGATCCCAAAACCTACAATGTTATAGGTCGACCCATCAGCAATTGTTAAAGAAAAAGATAGTTTGTGTGGTCGAAAATTAAAAAAATATTAAGATTACTTTTCATTTGATCTATAGCACCAGAATCAATCACACATCTATTCGATGAGATGAGACATTTTTTCTCTAATTCAGCAAGAGTAGAAAATTTATTCCAAAATTTCTGATACTGAAAAAATTTAGAACACTCATCAGCTGGAATCATATCAGTTCTATTATAATATAAGTTAGAAGTAGCAGCAACAATATTAGCGGTCTATGTTCTCCGATTGCGATTTTACAATTTTTTTCAGTATCGCTTTATATGTCCTTGTTCATGGCAGCAGTGGCAGACAATATTACCACTTATTTTAATGCAAAAATTAAATTATCATATGAGAACCACCTGAACCACCTAGAAACCCAGTAAGCAGAAACACCCAAAGCAAACGAAAAACAAATAGAGAGAATTACCACTGTCAGAAATAAACGACTCACAGAGAAACACTACTGTGCAAAAAGAACACCACGTGTAACCAATGGACAACCCTGCAAACCTCAACGCGTCGCTACTAGAATCACCACGTGCCGCTATTGGAATCACTACATGTCGCTGTCAGAATCACCGCCCACCACTGCGCTTTGACTAGAAATCTCCACAGGATCGCAACGCACCTAGATCCGAATTGAATATCATGAAATTGCGCCGAAAACTGTTGGAATCTGGCTTTCGCGCAGTCTAGCCACCGCTGTGGCTTTTCCCTATCCGGGCTCCTGGTTTTGTGCGCGGATCTAATCGAGAACGCCTCTTCAACAACCATCTAGTGGTAGCCGCTTGTCTTCCTATTCCAGACGGGCACGGGGAACAGCCGCACAGAGACGAGCCTGACATGAGCGGAAGACAGCTGTGCGATTATGTTCTGCGTTGATCTGGCTTCTTCCACTTCACCACCACGCGATCTGACTTATTCTGCTTCACTACCACGCCAGCCGCATATAGTCTTGATTGGAGGTTGTTTCTGTCAACTGACGTCGGACCGAAAATGATTTAGTCAATCCCTCTTGATCTAATTTGGTTCTCTCTCAAACCCTAACTCTGGTACCATGTGAAATAACAAAAAAATAGGTAAAATATTTCTTGTATTTTATTCCAATGGGTTAAGGATATATATACATAAAAGAGGAATCTATATATGGTAACAACATAAATCACCCTATAAATTTCTCATCTATAATTATGCTAATATATGTATATTGGAAATCAACTGATGATTACATGGGAATATTCTGTAATATATTTTGTAACATTGTAAAACATCCCAATGATATTGAAAAAATGGTTTTTCACACACATCATGGTCACTATGAATTCCTGGTTATGCTGTTGGACTTACTAATGCACCTTCTATCTTCCAAGCGTTGATGAATACAGTATTGCAACCATACTTACGTAAGTTTGTTTAAGTATTATTTAATGATATCTTGATTTATAGTAAAACATGGGTAAAACACTTGGGATTCTTGAGAGCAGTTTTCTCACTTTTAGAAAGGCATCATCTATTCCTCAAGCAATTTAAGTCTTGATTTTTGGCCAAACATAGGTTTTGTATCTTGGACACACAATTTCTTAGGAAGGGTGGCGATGGACGCTTAAAATTGAAGCTTTATTACGATGGCTGAAACCAATGACTATCAAAAGTCCACAGGAGTTCTTAGGATTAATTGGTTACTACGTGAAATTCGTAAAAGACTATGGTGTAATTACAGGGCCCTTAATAGCCATGCTTTGCAAGAATGCGTTCGTATGGGCCCCAGAAGCATCTGCAGCCTTAGAACAATTAAAAGGTTTCTATGACCTTGACCCTGGTGCTTGCCTTTCCTGACTTTTCAAGACCTTTCATTGTGGAGTGTGATACCTCAGATTATGGCATAGGAGCAGTTTTGCAACTAGGAGGCGTCTTGTTCAGCAAGGTATTAGCATTAAGACACCACAAACTTCCAACATATGAAAAACGCTGGTGGGAGCCCTGAGGCATTGGCGTTTGTATATCTAGGCCTGACATTTCGTGATAAGAACATATTGTTACAATTTAAAATTTTTATTAGAAAAAAGAGATGTCACCTCACCACAACAACACAAGTGCAGCAAACAAATGGGCTTCGATTTCACGGTGGGATACCGTGTGGGTAAGGAAAGTATTATAGCAGATGTCTTTTCTCGCCAGATTGAAGACACAGAAATAGTTGCTACAATAACAATGCCTCAGTTGGGAAAAACAGGGAATTTATGGTCCATGAAGGACGGGTTGACTTTTTACAAGAAGCGGATTTATCTCCAACCAACTTTCACAAATACTAATTATTCTAGTTGCAATCCATGACCATTGTCATGAACGATATCGAAAAACATTAAGCTGAATTGTATGAGATTTCTATTGAAAGGGGCAAGAATGACAAGTAAAATATTTTGTGAAGATTTGTAAATGTGCCAGTGCCATAAAATTGTGCAATTACAACCTATCGGCTTACTTCAGCCCCTTAACATACCATATCAGATATGGACAGATATTTCAATGGCTTTCATAGATGGCCTTCCCCCATCCCATGGGAAGATAGTTCTTCCGATAGTGGTTGGTCAATTTTCTAAGTGTGCACACTTCCTTTGACACATCCGTATACAGCTGTAAGTGTGGCCCGTATATTCTTTGACTCTGTTCTGAAACTGCACAAACTCCCTGAGTTCATTGTTACTGAGAAAGATGTCATTTTCACAATTTTTGTTTTAGAAAGAACTTTGCCACATATCCAAAACTAAGCTAGCTTTCAACTCTGCCTACCACCCACAGACAGAGACAAACAGAAGTGGTCAACCTTGCCATTGAAATGTACTTAAGGTGTTTTTCCAATGACAAACCAAGGCAATATGTAGAATGCATCTCTTGGATAGAATATTATTGTAACACTAGCTATCACTCTTCTCTAAGGACAATCCCCTTTGAAGCAGTCTGTGGTCGGTCTCCCCTAAATTATTATCCTATTACCCTGGCCAGGCCAAAGTCCAAGCAGTTGACATAGAGCTTTGTGATTAGGATCAGACTTTGAAGGACCTCCATGACCATCTTCTGCAAGCACAAGCTACTGCGGAAATGAATTATAATATACATCATCGCAAAGTTTACTTCTAGGTGGGAGAGAAAGTGTTAAGTCTCTGTCGTGAGTTCCATACAATAACATGGCCCCTAGATTTTGTGAACCCTCTCAAGTTTGGAACACATTGGCTCCATGGCCTAAAGTTTGGCACTGCTACCTAACAATTGTCATCTCCACTGTGTTTTTGATGTCCCTTGTTTAAAAAAGTTTCATAAAAATGAGGAGGTCCAACTATCTTTTCCACCACTCTCTGAAGGAGAATTACGTCCTTGACCTCAGGGAATCTCCGATCAATGTGTTCGCACAAGACAGTGGGAGCTACTCGTCCATTGGAGGGCCTATCTCCAGCCAATGCTTCACCATAAGATGCTGATGAAATCTTAATTTAACATCCCAGTTTGGCGCTTGTGAACAAGCTTCAATTCGAGGAGGGGAGAAATGTCACATCACGCAAAAGGACCCACAGCCAGTTATTCAAAATGAATTTACAGAAAAAACATATATGCGTGGGACCCATGGAAGCAACAAAATGAAGGAACTGACATCTATAGTTAAGTGGAAAATTTGTTTATTTAAGTAACTAATAAGAGTTATAATTCTTTAAGAATTTATATTAAATATTTAGATTTAGGCATAGATTAAGATATTGGATAGAATTAGGATTATGATTCCTAGAGTTATAATTAAATTTAGATTAAGAATTGGAATCTAACTAAGACACAATTCCTAGAACTGTAATAAGGATCTAATTCTATTAGCTTTCCTATAAATACACCAATTGTCATGAATAAAATTATCAAGTTACTAATTTAAGAGTTTCTCTCTGAAGATTAGAGGTTCCCTTGGACGAGCCTTATCACGGACTGGCAGGGCCAGAAAACCAGGAAGCAAGCAGCTTGCTTGCTTCAGGATTTTGCACTGGGAGATCTTCTGATCAGATCCAGAGCCTAGGACTCTGACACTGGTATACAGTGATGAGCTTCCATGCTAGTTCTCTTTTGTAAAAACAGCTGAACCAGATAAACAGGATATTTTCTCCATGTCTATATTGCATATGATTGTAAATAACATAAATATACAAGGTTTCCATGATAGGAAAATTAGTTGTAGATGGTTACAAAATAAAAGATGCAACAATCAAGAGATTGGTTAAGATTAAAGGAGAAAGATCTTTTGGGAGAGGATTCTGGCAGTCGATACTAGGAGAATGGGCTTCTCCAGTGCGTCAACTTCCTGTAGAATGCACATTCATTTACATTTACTTGGGAAAGAAAAGAGGGGTGTGCTAAGCTGTAAGAGGAGGCAGCTTCAGTTAGCATAGAACCCTCGGTTCCCTGAGTTGCAGTTGACATGCAGCTGTATGAAAGAAGAAAGATCAAGTTTGACGTTAGCAGCAATCACAGGCTAAGCTCTAATACCATATTGTAAAATGACTGTTAGGCCGAGAGAAAGTTCTCTTTATATGTACATTTCATATCATCATATCCAACATATAAGTATATATATATATTCAAGGTTTGAGTAATAGGCAACTTAATTATAGATGGAAAAGATTACACAAATGAACAATATGTACAGAATAGAAAAGGAAAGCAGATTATAAGGGAGAAGACTACAGCTGGCAATGTTTAGGAAGAGAAAAATTTTCAATTTAGGAGTTTGTTTTCTCCTGTGGACCTGCTAATTCTGCCACATAAGTTGCTATATGGAAGAAACAATTGGGGTATTGCTCAAAATGATATGGTTATAGTTCTGTGTATGATGATTCTTTAATTTACTTGACCATTTGATTACTTCTTATGCTTGTAGGACAAGAAGCGGCTACAGAGAATGCACATATCATCATTAATTGCCTCGTTGCCCTGATTTCTTACCCGCATATGATGGTAAAAATCTCATCTCACCGAAAATTTTGGTTTATTGCACTGTATATGCCTTCTTAATTTGTCACATGAAGGACACTGTCACACATGAGGTAGCCACTATGTAATGTTTTCATTTGTTATTTTATTTGAACTGGCTTGCCAGATTATGAGTTTAGAAGACCATTTGACTACCTGGCTAAACTTTTACGGGCTGCTTTTAGACTCAATGGTTTTGGAGTTGGATCTGGTATTACAAAGTCCAAAAATCTTTTGCTGCCATTTTTTTACGGAAGTTAATCCAACTATAACAAAAAATGCATCATTTTTGTTAAACCTTTCTCTTTTGCCCTTAAATCTTATATTACAGATCCAACTACCCTGCTGGAAAGTTCAGGAACTGAACTACTTTCAAATGCATAAAAATAGAAATACTTTCAACAGTAGGTAAATGGAAGATAGCCTCTACATGCTGAAAAGCAAAGAAATATTAACTAATCTGTTCTAATTTATATATATACAGCATCCCTTGTCCCCTATCATTATACCAGATCAGTCATATGAGATCTAAACATAGGAAACTTGTAGCATCCTGTATTTGTGCAATGGAAAGCATATGGTATATATTGTAGTTTAATTACCCCGGGAACACCATAACTAGCAGTGTTAGGGGATGAATCATGAGTCTATCATTTTATAAAGCTACATTTGGAACAAATTCCGGGTTCTTCTAAATTTCATTTGCAAATCCACCCTTCTACAGAATATGGTGAAAATCCTCACTAAAATGATAATAAACTAACCTTATGTGCATTTCATATGGAATTGGAACAATGCATTGTAAATACTATTGCAAATTCATTTAGAATGATATTCCATATTAATTTCATATAGAATTGAAATATATCATTCTAATTCTACACGAAATTTCTTATGAGGTCAATTTTTATCGTCTTCTAATAAACTTATGCATTTTCGTAATTCAACTTAGTGTTGATTTACAAATGAATTCAAAAAATTTCAAACATAGCCTGAATTACATTAAAACTAGAACAGGTCTATCGTCCTGTGGATTTGGAATGGCAGCAGGTAGGTAAGTTGGTTTTGGGAGAGAAAAAGAATTACTATTAAGATAAGAGGAAAAAGAATACAAATGAAGGAAATAAGTCATCCTCCACAAAGAATTATGAACAAGAAGACATCATTTACACAGTAAAAACATGAACCCACAGAGAATAAAGTTGGTTGGTATAATGATTCCTGAGTTGTGATCTTCCACTAGTCGCGAGAAATTAAAGATTTCTATTCCACATTATACGCATTTGGGCTTCTAAACACCTTTACTGGTTGGCTGTTATTTAGCTTCAACTTAACTTATAGCTGCTTTATGTGAACATCTCAGCTTGTTCGAGAGACGGCAATTCAATGTCTGTTGCTATGTCTGGGTTGCCGTATACAAGAATTTTCCCCGTGAGAACACAGGGTTAGTTAGAAATATCTATGCCACTTTTGATTCACTGTATAACGCAAGAATATGTCGGTAATATAATAGCTATTGTGTGTAAATATTTATTACATTATTTCATTAATTATATCAGGATTACTTCGTACCCAAAGATGTAATTTCAACACATGAGTAAATGTGTCTTGAATCAAGATTGAGTATGTGGATGAACTCTAATTGTGATTTTGTTTTTGATATTTAAAATTCTATTATTAATTAAATAAATTTTTTATTGTTTAAAATTGAACATAAAGAAAAATTTCTGAAATAATTTGAAAAATTGAGAAGTTTTTGAAATAATTATATAATTTTTATAATTTGATGAAATTAAAGTAATATGAAATGAAAAATAAAATATAATATGTATAATTTGTTAATAAATTTAATTAATTTATTAAGTAGCATATATAAAGTTTATTAATATATATTAATATACATATACATTTTTCAAAAAATCTAAGAAGAATGAGGTATTGTAATTGTGAAGAATCAGTTGTGTGTATTTTATTGAATAGCATGGCTCTCTATATATATACACACATTCTTGAGAATTTAAAAGGAAACGTACAGGTAATTACATCTGGAATATTTTACTATTATACCTTTTACCTTAACTACTTTCCAACATTCCTCCTCATGTTGATGAATAGATATTGTTCATTCCTAACTTAGCAATGATTATCTGGAATACTGGATTATTCATGTCTTTAGTCAACACATTTGCAAGCTGAGAATTTGTAGGCATGTACGATGTATATTTCAAGCCACTATTAAGTTTTTTTTTTATAAAATGTCTATCAATTTCAATATGTTTTATAAATGTCGTGTTGCACTAAATTTTTAGTAGTGTTGATTGTCAATTTGTTGTCACAGTAGAGCTGCATAAAGCCATCCACATTTGATCTTTAGGTCTTCCAGAATCATCTTAAACCATTTTAGTTCACATATTCCTTGAGTTATTGCCCAAAATTCTGACTTTGTTGTAGACCTTGCTACTATATTATATTTCTTGCTTTTCCACATGACTAGATTTTCTCCAAAGAAGATACAATAGTTTGTGGTAGATCTTCTATCTAGTAATAATTTTGGTTACCCTGCGTCAATATAAGCTTCAAGATCTAGTAATAATTTTGGTTAGCTTGCGTCAGTATAAGATTCAAGAAATAACCTGTTATTTCTTCTTGATATGATACCTTCCCCTGGTGTCCTCATTAGGTAATGCAGTACTAGGCATTGCCTATAAACATATTTTTCTAAGATTGTGCATAAATTGATCTATCATACTTATTGCATAGGTAATGTCTGGTTTTATGCATAATAAATATACATGGAGATTCCACTAAAATTCACTAAAAATGTAGGGGACAATAAAGTATGCAAACTAAAAAGGCTCTATATGGACTCAAAAAGTCAATGAGAACATGGTTTGAGAGATTCACAAAAGTGATACTAGCAATGAGATACAAGCAAAGTTAAGGAGACCATATCTTGTTCATCAAATACTCAATTCAGTGGGAGTTATTGTTGAGAATGGTTAACTATGTATTCTATTGAAGATTAAGACTCTATATATAGAAGGTTTCTAGAATAGAAAAAGAAACAAACAATTAATTACAGAGAGTATATTTTACTATAACGTCCTTTGATTTAATTATCTCTTAATTATATATGATATATTCTTTAATACTCCTTATCAAACTGGAGAATAGATATTGTTCAGTCCCAACTTATCAATGATAGTATAAAATACTGGATTAGTCAAGTTTTTAGCCAACACTTTTGCAAGCTATAAGATGGTAGACATGGATGGAGTACATATTAAATCATTGTCTAACTTCTTTTTAATAAAGTGTCTGTCAACCTCAATATATTTGGTCATGTCGTATTATATCAGATTATGAACGATATTTATGGGTGATTTATTGTTGCAGTATAAAGGC